AAAAAAAAAAAGGAGCCAAATTTCAATTAGGTTCAGAACAAAACTTTCCAAATCAACCACACAACACTGTTGTAATAACTCGGCACACGAAAGGTTTATTAATTATTAATTATTTCTGCTCGATAAGAATAATCAGAAGGCTCGAGTCGAAAGCTTTTTACTTGAGCCCGGGTCACTGGCAACCGGACAATCGGGCCCAGTCCACAAACTGCATTCCACCATACACATTGTTAGCGAATCGTACACCGACTGTGAAAGCCATCGCGACAGGTGGCACTTTCTTAGCCAACGGAGATGCCTCAACTATACGTTCGAGACCGTTGATAATCTGGTACCGAGTGTTTGAGGACACCGCCAAGAAAACACCTGCCGGAAAACGAGACGAGAACATAAATTTAGCAAGGATCAAAAAGTTAGTCCGGTTTAACTCCATAGCAATTTTAATCCCAATGTTTCAACATTTCCCTTTTTGGTCCTGTGATTTATTATATTTTGTGCAAAGGACTGAAATTGCGAAATTCCAGATTTTCGATTAGCAATTTAAATTTCTGTAATTTCAATTTTTGTAGCAATTTCAGTCAATTGAAATTGGAGCAAAATATTAAATCAAAAGACCAAAAGGTGAAAAATTGGAATCTTGGGACTAAAATTGTTATGACGTTAAACCAAGAGGACTAAAAATACAATTTTGTTTTTCTTTTAATACTTTTTTTTAGACTGCCGGTTTAACGCCATAGCAATTTTAGTCCAAAGGTTCCAACATTTCCCTTTTTGGTCCTTTGATGTAATATTTTGCTGAAATTGCAACAATCTCAAATTTTCAGATTTTCGATTAGCAATTTAAGTCCTGTAATTTAGAACTTTGTTGCAATTTCAATTCTTGAAAGACTGAAATTGGAGCAAAATATTAAATCACATGACCAAAAGGTGAGAAGTTGGTCCTGTATTGCTACAAATGACTGAAATTGCGACAAATTCATAAAATCCCAGATTTTCGATTACCAATTTAAGTCCTGTTATTTAAAATTTGCAATTTCAGTCCTTGAAAGATGATTGGACCAAAATATTAAATCACATGACGAAAAGGTGAAAAGTTGGAATTTTGGGACTGAAATTTCTATGACGTTAAACTAATAGGACTAAAAATGCATTTTTGCCGCAAAAAAAAAA